TTATCTTGCTAATTAAAGACACATATTGATATGGTAGATAAAAAGCAAAATTTCTGCAGGGTGTGATGATTCATGCCTGTAATCCCAGATATCAAGGAGTGATAGGTAGAAGGATCACAGTCTAAGGCTGACAAGGGCAAAAAGTAAGACCATGTCTGGAAAAAAACAAAAAAACAAAACTTTAAAAAATGGCTGGGAGTGTAGCTCAAGTGGTCGACTGCCTACCCAGCAAACAAGTATGAGGCTCTGAGTTCAAATCCCAGTACTGCCAAAATAAAATCTACCACCACCACCAAAAACAACCCCCCATACACACAAAAAAGGAACAAAACAAAAAAATCCCTCCCCAAAACAAACAAAAAGCAAAACTTATCTAGAGGTTGTTTTCAAAACTAATTTATAGTGCAAAAACACAGGATTGAATGAGGCTGAAAATATATAAAAATAGATTAAGTCATGCTTTTCAAATAGTAGCCAAAAGGAAGATCATACAGCAAATAAATATTAGTCAAAACAGATGTAAAGGCAAATATAATAAAGGCAGAACAAAGGGTTCATTTCAACAGCAATTGGCTTTGAGAAGCCAAAGCCAATTCTTCAAAGCTTCTTGCTTATTTATGTAGTTCTGTTCAGGAGGATTTACCTTCACATGCACAAAGAAGATAATCACAGAATGATAAAACATGAAATATAATTTAAAGCATATGCGCTAAAAATAGCTTCCAAATACTGCAATAACTGATAGAATAACAAGGAAATATTTACAATCCATCATCAGAGTTGGAGAATTAAACATACCTCTTTTTCATTACCTGTCTTACCCCCCCCACAAAAAACCCAGAAAGAATGTAGAACCTTTGAAAATACATTTAAAAAGCTGAGCTGATAGATATATCCTGGCTGGAGACTATATGCTCTTGTCAAGTACATGAGTAATGTTATAAATAGCTATGAATTCATTGTAGATAATTTAAAGTATTGATATCAAACATGTACATGTTTCACAACATTATACAGTTAAAATGGATACCAACAAATAAAAGATAAGAAACCACAGAGATAATAGGAAGGAATTAGAAAAATATGGATTAAGGACAAAAGAAAAGGATTGGTATTATATACAGTGTATAATTCTTGACATTCATTCACACAGAGCATATAGGTAATTAGCTATTTGAAGAAATTTTTGTTTCCTTTTCTATTTTTACTTATGACAGAATAATTGATTGCAACTCCCCACTTCCCTAAACATTTGGTATGCTAAGTTCCCTTTTCACTGATTTTATGAAGCCTCTGGCTTTGCCTTAGCTAGGGTGGTGAATATTCATATGAGAAGTGAAGTCAAGCAGCACAGAGCTCACCTTTACACTCCAGTTACAGCCTGCTGGGTCAGCCCCAAGCCAAAACTGAGAAATCAGCCAAGTTTATCTTCTGAGCTTGATACCACTATTTCTCACAGCTTTCTGGCTTCCTACTATTTTTAGCACTTTCTTTTCCCTAGGCTCTTTGGGATCTTCAGTTAGAGAGGAAAATAATGATAAATTTGCTCATGACATTATATTAAAGATTTAAGAACTGCTTGCTCTCTCTTATGAAGCTGTTTTTAAAATGTGATATTTTTTTCTTTAAAGGGTTAATCACAAACTTGCACATTAAGGAATGCTGATATGTAAGTAAACAGTGGGAAAGGTTTAGGGTAGTGTGGGGGAGGGCTGCTGAGTACTTCCAGAAAGGGGTACAGATAATTCTTCATTGTGCTCAGGTGTGAGGTGTGACTGGTTGTGGTTATTTGTGTTCTGATGCTGTTAAAGTTAGAAAGGGAATGTGTGCGTATTACAGAAAGTGATGGAGGGAGAGTTACAGGAGGGAGAGAGGGAGACACATATGCTCTTTTATTTTTTGAGAGTATTCAACTGCAGAAAGTTCAGTAAAACCCTACAAGATCAGCTTTTCCAGAATGTTCCCATTCCACTTCTCTTTTGTCTTGGGACACAAATGTTACATGAATTTGTTCTATATGAATTTTAGCGCAAGAGTGAGCGAAAACTTCTGAAAGAGACTATGGGTTATTAGCATGCATTGGACCATCCTGTGCCTTCTTGTAAAACTAAAATGTTTTAATGATAGGAGTACCACTTTTTCTCTCCAAAAACCCATTCCGTAGATTTAGACTTGAAAGTCTGAGGACAGATCCTAGAGGACAGGGAATTTTATTTTATTTTTTAACATCACAAAACCAGTCCCGTAGTCCAAGAAAGCACATAAGTGCATATACATGCACACACACTCTTTCTGACTTCCATTTAATTTTATTTAGTTAGTCCTGCTCTTTTTGGGAAAAATACTCTAATTGTTCAAACAATTTTCTTCTTTGGTTCCTATAGCTTGCCTATGACTAGACTAATAAAAATACCACTTTAGATTTTTTTTTTCAATTTTCTCAAATTCTTTTCAATTTTCCTAACACTTCGAATAGAGAAAATATTTGCTCATAAAGGTAACAGTTAAATGAAAGGACTTGATTAAAATATTTCTATTAATTATGCACTATTGATGACCAAATCCTTGATCTTTCTTTCCCTGTTTTAATTAGGCCACTCCTAATTAACTTGGGATTCTCTGTGTTTTAGTAGTAAGTACTCTCAGTCCTGGGCAAACCAGGATGGTTAATCAGCTTATCACTAGTCCACTGCCAGCGCTGTCTAACTTTCTCTTCCCTCTTTCATATCAAAATTTCTCCACTGAGTACTCTATACTCTCTTTTTTCTCATCTTGACCTCTTAGTTCATTCCTGAACGTACTGTAACTGGCTTCTGTCTCTATCACTCCACACACATGAGGTTTGCAGGAGTTGTCAATGACCTTCAACATTTCCCTCAGGAGACTGGCCAGTACTCTGCTGGTGGATTTGGGACTGCTGGTCCAGCCACTTAGCTGAAGCTCTTCATTCCCATCTTCTACAGCAACACAGATTCCTGGTTTCTGACTGTTCCTTTAACCACTTATACATGGGTTATCTCCCTTTACTTATTTTCTAAAAGATGATTTCCCTAAAAATTCTACACTTGATCCTCTTCTTCTCTTATTACTCTACAAATCTTTTCCTGGCTGATTTCACACACTTCCATGTTGTTAACCACTCCCTATAGGATGATGACTTTCAAATCTGTACTTGTTACCCAAACTTTTCTTGTGAGCCAACAACCTATGAAACAGCTCTTATAGTGCCTTATATGCAATTCAATAAAGCTAAAATTTTTATTATAAACTGTAATGATCTCCACTATTATGCTCCTCCTCTTTGCTATTGGTATTATCATTAATGGTTCACCTCTGCCAAAAATCCTAATGTCATCTTTGACCTTACATTCTCTTTCACCTCCACTGAATTACTAAATCATTTTAGTTTTAACTCCTAAATAATGTTTAAATTGTCTTTATTCCTCCAACCTTACTCACATTTCCTAGTTTCAGAGCTTGCCATGTTTAGTCTAAATTATAGCCATCACCCCACTGTACTCTTGCCTTCAAACTCTTTCCTGCCTACTTATAGTGTCTGTTACATGGTGCCACTGTACTCACCATGTAACAGTGTTTCCCACAGCAGTTTTTATATAGGATCACGTAGATACTTTTACCTTACCATGTTGCAAGCCATCTTTCTGTTTATCTCCGTCACAAAAGAGTAAATTCATTATGAAGGGAGCTGTACTTTATCTTTGTTTCCCTTGTGCCTGCCTCTGTGCCCAGCATATGGCATGAACATCAAGAACTGAGCATATGATGCAAGCATCATATGTATTTCTATGTTTGTATTCTTTCCTGTCCTCTTTTCTAAAGGGAGGAGACCATGGTTTATCATTTTATATACATGTTATAAATACAGCTCCTTTATTAATTAATTTCTATTGAGTTAAAATCTTGTCAGGAATGTGGAACTCTTTTTTCTTGTTAGTCTTCACACTCTCCATAGTAAGTAATGCTAAGTGGTCCTTCTGATATTTTTAGCTTATTTAACTAGTGTAGTGAAAATTGCTATTATTTGCCAGATACTTAGTGACTAGAAAAATGACGCAGTATTTAAGATGATTTTTTAAATATCTAATTTAGTTCTAGATGCTCACCAAAAGGTCAAAGCTGTAGGGAATAAAAGTTGTATATCAAAAGCCCCTCACTTTTATGAGAAATCAACATGAAGTATAACAGAGATAGATTCCTATAGCATTTTGAATAGGAAACTCAGATAAATGTAGATAACTTTAATTTTGACTTTCATTAATATTAAACAACTAGTTGTTTATATAATATAACCAATTCATAATAATACCAAGCTGTCTTTAAATGATTGCTTCCTGGTTAAGGGAAGCAATTTTACACTAAGAAATATAATACAATTTAAATGCAGCACAATGGGCTTCATGAATGTACCAGAAGTGTTCACTGAAATCAAGTTAAACCCTTACATTGTGTGTGAATAAATATGCTTATACAGTCACAGCTCTCCCTGTTTTGCAGAGTTTCAAATATATGATAAGAGAAAATGAGATGCATATTAGATTTTCAAAAACATCTAACTTGATATGAGATCTGTAATTCCTGAAAATTTGTGAGAGCACTTATTTTCAGTAAAACAAATTCGCTTGATTTCATATTTAAATGGATTTTCTTAGGTTAGCAACAGTTTTCTACAGTAGGTAGTTTCTAAGAAGGAACTAAACAAAATGATTTATACTTTGTTGCTATAAATACACACAGGAAACCATTTCAAGATCTTGCCATACTCTTAATATAAGCTTCAGTTTTCTTTATTCAGAGGGAAATATATTATCTACTAGGATGAGAGATGTGGTAGCCAATTATCCCAGCTTGTCCTAGAGATTCCCAATAAAACAGAAGTTACATGTTCTAGGAAACACCTTTGTCCCAGTATAAAACAGGAAGGTGTTAACCCTGCTGAAAGATGAACTAAACTTTGAAACCTTGAGATAATAGAGTCTTACCTTAACGTCATTGGTGTTCATTTGCGTTCCTTCCTTTCCCACAAATATATCATCAATGTCCACAAGGTGTACCTGTCCAAGGACAATGTCAGCCTCTTTCCTGACAAGAAGGAGATAGCATCAATGAAGATCAGCTTGTGCAGCCAAAAGTTCAAGTTGCTTCCAAAAAGAACTCGCTGAATTCCATCATGGAGCCCTAGGTCGTGTATGATAGTGGCATAAAAAGCACCTTTAGATATGGGAGGAGAAAGGTTTTCTGGGGTCTTTACTTTGGCAAATATCACTGGTTGGTAGGCTGAGTGATTAATCTGGAAAACTGTCCAGTCAGTTCCAGGTAAAGAACCTTTTTCAAGCTTGGAAGATTTGGTCACACGAAGCAATGGAGAATGAGGATTAATACAGCAATCTTTTACTGCAAGGTTTCCATATATGGAAAAAGAGAAACCTTTTATCTGAAAGTTCTGTAGCTTCTTCCAATGACACCCACACCATATTCGACACAGTATTTATCTAAAAGGCTTCGATTCCAGGAGTCCATATTTATATACTTTAAAATATTCTCATAAATAATGAGAATATATTTGCCTTTAGTTTTGTCTGTAAGTGCCGGAAGATCTCCTTTTCCAGGAGCAATTTCAATGTAATATTGGAATCTACTTGACTCTAGAATCATAATGATGTCTTGGCCAAGCGGTGAGTACTGGCTCTCCACAAACACTAAGACTATGGGATCTGTCCTTGAGGCATCAGAAAGCCTTGCTGACTTCATGTCCATCAGCCTATATGGCAAGTGTTGGAGGTCACCACAATCCACTTCTGAAGTCATTTCAGAGAGTTCACTTTCCTGTTTGTAGCCACTGTACAGGTAGTAAGCAGAAATAACAATGCTCACCATACAAAAAGTGGCAAGCAGAATAACTGTCCTTTGAAAGTGTCTGTGAAGCTTCATGATAAAACTCATGTTGTATATCCTTTCCTTGACTATTTTTGAGAGAAGCACCATAAATGTAAAACAAACGATGGTGTTTCAGCTATTTTTCCAGCCTCAGGCAATAGTTTATGTCACCATTGCAGCACATCTGTATTGCATGATCAGGACTCACAGGAAATAGAGTCTGAAAAATAGAAAAAAATAGAATAGAATATGAAATATTCAGTGCCTAGCACTAGAATGTGCAAGCTTTTTTTTTTAAATCTTATTGACCCTGATAAGTGGCAGACTAGTGGACAGATGAACTGGCTTGAAGGAAATTAGAAAACCTCTTTCAGATGTGGTTGAGACATGAGAGGGATGAGATGAGGAAAGTGACTCCACTGAACAGAAAAAAATAATTGAGCTAATCAGGAATTTTCTTTTGCTCTTTGAGCTCTGCATCAAACTTGGTAGATAATATCACAGACCTCTGACACCACAGAGAGTTTGCCTGAGCCATATACTGCTGTTTTCTGTCATCAAGATATGCATCATGTAATGTATGATCAAACATGTGTGTTCACTTACATGTACTGAAAGTTTATAAAAGTTTGGGTATGTTTCACTAAGTTCCACAATTAAAATGATAGTCCTTTTCTTTTCTAGAAAGTTGTTAACACAAGGAATTTTGTTACTCAATATACATTTCAAATTCATTAGAGAAACAACCTATAATAGTTACTTTCATTAGAAAAAACCCTTTTAAATGCACATATGGTTCCACAACCCAACTGATCATTTTAGAGTGAATATTTACCTAGTTAAGTTTTTCAAAATTCGGAGCAGTCATGTGGTGAGATGAATATGAGGAATAAAACACTCCCCAGTCTCCTTTGGCTCTGTTGTATTATGGATGCATTCAGGCATCGTGCATTGCAGAATGTTTACTGACAGATTCACTTTCTGTACATTCTATTTCTACTATTGAACAAAGATCTCAGTAATCATATGAAAACATCCTATAAAGCATTTTAAAAGCATAATGAAAATAGTTGTGAAGTCACAAGAAATGCCTTGTTTTGTAATAATTCCAAATTCCTTTCAAGTCTTAGTAACTATTGGAAATTTAGTAACTTTGAAAAATAGTAAGAAAGAAGCACAGGCATTTGTTTCTTAGAACAAAAGTTTAGTAGAGTCTTACGTCCCTGGCACTGTGCAAAGAAATATCACAGATCATAAAAAAATTAAGAAATGTCTTGCCATTGTTCATAGGACAAGCTAAGTAGCTGGCAAGATAAAAAGTGGCAGGAAGCACTGTATTTGGTGTTTACCATAAGTTTAGGGTTTGTTGCACCTCTGCTTCTTAATTGTAGCATTTTAGACTCATACCTTCCAAATAAAATGTTGGAATAAATTACCACTATTAACGAATGCTAGATTTAAAATTCTGTACTATTCACTTATGAAGTAAGCAGTGATTAATACTTTGAATAATATATGTTTATCTTTGTGAAGAATATATTCTGTAATATAACTACAGGATATTTGTGATATTTATTTTGTAAATTATATGTTATAGTTTATTCATTCACATCTTTAGGGCATCTATGTTGTTCATTCAAATATTTATGGGGTAGCTATTTTTCTGTTTAAAATATACATGTTAAGCATGGTGAATTTCTTTAAAAGGTCTTGAATTTTAAAGCATAGACAATGACAAGGGTGATCATTTATGGCTATAAATTAAGGACACGTGACTGTAATGAGATGAACAAAGAAAAAGACTGTAACAAGTGGGGAATCTGTAAAATGTTCTGGGAGGATAGGACTGGGGAGTTCCCTAAAGGATGATGGGAATTCAAACACACATGTGAGATTTAGACAAGGTTATAGAGATAGCAGTGAGTACAACATTGGGCAAGGGACATGAATGAAAACTGAAAGAAATGGTGAAGAATATTAAACAACAATTTGACTAGGAACTGCTTACAGAGATGACAGGGAGATTTGATGGCACAGAACTTTATGACTGTGAAAGCTAATAGGGAAACATTAAACTTTCTGATTTACCGGAAAGTATGGTAAAGAGTTAGAATTAATGAATAACCTGGAAGATAACATAGAGCTGTCTCAGAAAGCTGAGTCTTGCAAGCCAATGTTGATGCATTTCTCACAATGTAATGCTGAAATGTTAATGATCACAGAAAAGGGAGGACAGAGGGAAGGGATAAGTCTGAGGAACGTTTCGGTTGACATGCCATGTGAGGTGCACACACAGCATCGCTCTGCCAGGGAAAATGCCATCAAGTGATCTGACGTGCTCTATAATCAATGGAATATAAAGAAGAACATTCTGCTATTAAAGCATGCTAGTTACAGGTTTAGGTGAAATTTAAGCCAACAAAAAACTAAACAGACAACTTAGAGTTGTTAACTGTAGTTATTTTCTTTTGGTGAGTAATTGTGTTTTAAAGTTGTATACATGATTATGAACATAATCTTCTGCAAGATAATGGCAGGAAACAAAATATCACATCTTTCCATGTATGTGTTTTGATTTTAGCTGTGAATTTTTTTGACTGGATATAAAATATAGCGACACACTTTGCATTTCTGTTGGCAGTATTTCAGTTTGTTCCAATTGTCAGAAGTGATGAACTGAGAGGTCAGGAGTATTTGCTCTCACTATTTAGAGCAGATATTAGAATCCATCAAATTTACCTTTTCTGTTAGCAGGTATAAATGCCAAAGGATATTTCTTTTATATTAGACGCCTCAAGTTTTATTCTAATACCAAAGGTAATTCCACTGAATGTCTTTGAGGTTAGGGTTTGCCCTAACATCGTATTTAAATGGATACATTAAGATTCTCTTGTTCTCTGCAAACCTAGACAGGATCTTGCCAAATAGCCCAAGCTGACCTCAATCTCAAGATTCTCCTGCCTCAGCCTTCCCATTGCTGGGATTACAGGCTTGAACGACCACAACCAACTTCTCTGCAGACCTTTTTAATACACAACACACTTGGCCATGGCCAATTTAAATCTGTGGTGTGGACTCTTAGAATTTTCTGTTAATACCACAACCTTATCTATAAATAGCTTCTTCCCATTCTCTGCTATGTTTCACTTCTTTTCCTTGGGGGCATAGCACTATAGCAGAAGACAGAGGCAAAGGTACAGACCTCTGAGCCCTTATTGAGTGGGTTTATCAGTAGGACACATGGGTGTGGAAAATTAAGCTTATCCACAAATTCCCCTGTAAAAATTCCTTTAATTTTTCAAACTTGGAAAGAACCAGTGGGTACACATGATCATTGTGAAAAGTGCCTCTCTTTGGCACTTATTACTGTAATTATAATTAAAATTTTTCTTAAAATCATCTTTCCTGTTGGCCTGAAAGCTAAGAAGGTAGAGTGGATGGCCCTTTTGTCTATCATTGCACCCCTAGTGCCAGGCATGGAGTAAGCAATCAATGACTATTGGAATTTATTGAATGCATTGGCACATTTATGCTTATAGGTTAATTTGAAAATTCTACTTTATTCTAATGCTGTAAAGTTACCTTTTCAGGTTACACATGACTATTAATACGGTTGTAGTTACTCAAAAATTTACTGGATTTAGTGTCTATTTTATTGATTACTAAGTAAATAAAATCACAGCAGCCCAACATGTGATGAATCTAATATTTGTGATAGATACAAATCTTTACTCACAAAAATTACCTACCAGTTAATCATTCTGCAATCAGCCATCAGGTATTTATTGAACAGCTACTTTGGGAGTAGTACCACTGTACTCAGTGCTGACGGTACCAGAGAGGTCACATTAGGAATGATTCCTTCTAAGCCAGGCTTAGAAAGACAAAAGTCACATGTTTTCTCTTATGTGTGTAAGACAGATCCAAATACAAATATTATCATATATACTTAAACACACACACACACATATCTCCATATAACATGTTTCCAAAAATGGGACGATTAGAGGAGAATAAGGCAGGTGGGAAAGAAGAAAAGAATGATAGACAGTGGATAATATTGAACTACAGCTATGTAGGAACAGGCACAATGAAATGCTCTGAAAACTGTTGGACAATGCAAGGTAGGGGGAAAAGGGTAAGGAAGAGAAAAGAGGGGGTTAGACTGATTAAAATATAATATATTTATGGGTACAATACCAAGGCAAAACATCACTAACAATGAACAGACAAGGACAGAAATGTAAAACAGGTCATGTTAAGGGGAGGGTAATTGTAGGAGGGGGAGGGTAAAGGAGGATGAATATGGTTGAGATACTTCCTATACATGTGTGAATATGGAACATTGAAACCTGTCGAAGTCATTTCAAGAAGGGGAGTTGGGGAAGAGGAAGAATAATGGGGGGGAGGGGATGAACCAAACCAGGTTACAATATAAGTATGTATGGAAATGTCACAACGAAACCCCCTGTATAATTATCATATACTAATAAAAACATTTTTAAAGAGAAATGATTCTTCCTCTATAAAGATGACTCTCTCAAGGGGAATGAAACTGTGAAACAACAGCTAACAATTTGTTGCATACAATAAGTTATGATTCATGTGGTAAAACTTTATGATATAGAAGAAAGAGAGAGAAAGAGAGATTAAAAAAGCTTAGGAATGTCAGTGACAGTTCCTAAGATCCATGGTACCTACAGAGTACGTGAGATGACGGGCAGGGCTTGGATATAAAGACGGGGAGAGTAAAGCAGGCAAAATGCCCTGGCTAGGCTAAAGAAATAAAATGGCTTCAATGTGAGTACCTGAGAGTGAGAATAAACTAATTCTAAGACACAATGTGTTGGGATAAAATTGGAAATAATATTTGGTTGAAAGAGTCCTGTGGATTAGTGAATGTCCTTGGAAGTGACTGTGAAATTCAAGGTTATTATCTCAGAAATATCATTGGATATATTTGAACAAAAAGAGACCATAAAAATATTTTCAGATGATTAGTGGAGCAGTGTCATCTGGCATGAGCAAATAGTGGTAAAATGGACAGAGTCCACACTACATAGTAC